AAAAAAAAAAAAAAAAAAAAAGCATTGCTTGTGGCTTTGGCTTTTAATTGTAATATGTGAACAGGCGTGATTTAAATCACTTCCAGGCAGTCTAAGCTGCTTCTGAGTTAAATATACAGGGTTAGTTGCCCAACAGCTTTCCTGGTTCTTGGAGACTATAAATTCTTGAACTGCATACAATCACTTTACATAATTAATGAGGTATCACATTTTTTAAATCTCCAGACCAGCATGTTAGTCTCCCTCCAGCTACCACAGTGGTCTCTATCAAGGAGGCCATCATCTTTAAAGGGCATCTCCCAAAGTCTGTGAGTAGTTTACTTAGGATTTTGGCAAACTGATGTAGGTGTGAGGTACATGTGTAGGTCACTAAGAAAGTTTTGGGACAGACTGTGTTATGGTCCATTATTTCACTTCCAAGAAACACAGTCGATGGTGTCTTTCTGATTCACATCTTTTGACGTAGGTCCAAGGTACGTATGTGTTCAGAGTTGGGGTTAAAAAAGTGTATTTAATAATGTGCTCTGCTTGACATGAATTTCAGGGCTGGTCTTAAATCAGGAGATGAAATAATGAAAGTGTCACAGGATGGAAATGGAATAACCTTTTTTTTTTGGCTGGGGCAGGGTTTAAACCCACCACCTCCAGCATATGGGACCGGAGCCCTACCCTTTTGAGCCGCAGGCACCACCCAAAGTAACCTTTCAATCTGGACAAAGAGACTGAGCCTGAGCTTTAGCGTGGGGAATCAGCTTCTGTTGGGGCTACCAAGAGGAAAGGGAAGGATTTTTTTGAAAAACTTGTAGCAAAGTACTTTTGCTCTAAAATTCCATCTTAATGCTCACAGTAGGCTAAAATTATTCCTAAAATACATAGTAAGAAAATAAATATACCGGCTAAGTTGATACATTACCTGAAGCCCATTTCTTCCAATGACCTTGTTGCCTCCCTAGCTAGAAGTACCACTCTTAACTGAGGCACATTACTCACCTCTCCAAATCCGCCTTTTCCTAGAACTCTGTAATGCCTAAACGTGTGCTTTGTTACTGGTTGCCTAATCAATTAAAAAAAAAAGTTTCAGATTTCACATTGCATTGTTATTTTAAAACAGAAAGGCTTGCCTTTCATCTTAGCCATCTTTATTGAACCCTTGCTCAAAAGGAATGCCCAGGACACAGGGTGTCCAGTACTCAGGGACTATGGCTCCCTCCACTGCACTAAGAGCAATTAATTAACCTTCAGATTTACTGATAACACCCGAAGTAAGAGGCAGTAACTAAAGACAGGTCTGCAAACAGCCCATACCAGTTAATATTTATGTTTATAACTCACTGCATAATCTCGGGTATACCTCTTTGAGCCCGTCAGAAAGCTGTTGTGGGAAATGACATATACACAGAGTGCTGTCCTTTGAAGTTCTACAGAACCTCAAACATGTTTATATAGTTTTAATATCTCAAAAGAAACATTTACAGACTAGAACTGGAAATTAATCCATCAGCAATGATGGTAATAACAGTAATGCTAACAATACTATCTGTAGCTGAGACTTTTGACCACTTATTTCATAGATGTCCCAGGTGACCCCAGTTACAGTCCAATAAGGTAGATTCCATGTATATATTGACCATTGTGGTCACCACAGGAAAAAAAAAGAAAAAAAAGGTAGATTCTATAATTACCTCGAATTTACAAAACAAGGACCTAGGGCCCATGCAGGCTGAGTTACTTGCCCGAGGTCCCACAGCCGGCAAGAGACTGAGCAGAGATTTAGATGTAAACTCTAACCTATAGCATCACATTGTACCACAGAAAACCTAAGACAGGGTATATTTCTTTTTCTTTCTTTCTTTTCTTTTCTTTTTTTTTTTTTTTGAGACAGAGTCTCCCTTTGTCACCCTTGGTAGAGTGCCATAGTGTCATAGCTCACAGCAACTTCAAACTCCTGGGCTCAAATGATCCTCTTCCCTCAGCCTCCTGAGTAGCTGAGACTACAGACACCCACCACAGTGCCCACCTATTTTTAGAGATGGGTTAGAGATGGGGTCTCTCTCTCACTTAGGCTGGTCTTGAACTCCTGAGCTCAGGCAATCCGCCCACCTCGGCCTCCCAGAGTGCTAGGGTTACAGGCGTGAGCTACTGCGCCCAGCCTTACAGGGTGTATTTCTAACCACTGCACCAACAAGGTAACTGCCATTTTAAAAAGAGAACAGAGACAATTACATCAGAAGAAATTGTACAGTACCTACTAATAATTTCTGTGCAAAAACACCTTATTTAAGATTTCTAATAGTATCTGACAGATGAAAAAGTGCACCTCAAAGAGTTTACGTTATGAGAAGCTACTATTTGTTTTACTGAAGTTGTTAGAGATAAGGTCTCTCTATGCTGCCCAGGTTAAA